AAAAAAAAAAAGAATAAACTTACCTTGCTCCTGTATGGAGAGCTCCTTTTCCACCATGAACACTAGATCCCACTCACAACCACCATGTCTTTCTCACTATTAAAAACAAACAAATGGGCACTCATTAGAAAACGGCATTTATCAGCGCTAAAAGTTCACAGTCACTTCAGATCTTGCAGGCACCCTCATAAAAAGGCAGATTTAGGACTCCCTGTCACCCAAAAGGTTGCAGCAGGTTAATTGAGTTCACCGTGGAGGCATCATTACCGCTATAACACACCTAAGGAAAAAAGCCCTGCAGGCCAGTTATTAAGATAGATTTATTTTAAGCCTTTGAAACTCTCTGTTAAATTCTTGCCCGCTCAACAAGATGAGGTTTCCTCTCACTTTGCCCCCAAAAAACCTTTGCGATAGAGCAGCAACATCTCCTCATCTGGGATGCTTTGCCCTGTCCCATTCTTGGGCATTCCGTTCCCACCACAGGCATCYAGGGCTGTGGAAGCCTGTACAAATACTRATTTTCAGAGGGACTTTYATTGACTTGCAAGGAGGTGGCTATGACAACTATGGGTCCTTTGSCATGACCTTCTGGGCAGCTCCTGGYCTGCTTGGGCTGGGAAARCTACAACCTGCACACACTTATTTTAGCAACAATAATTGCATATCAGGAGGATTTTACTGTTTTGCAGTTATGCTTGTCCATAAACAGGAAMAAGATGGTGTGAGGCTGAAACAATTTGATGGTGAGACATTGATTTTGGCATCAGGGCCTGGAGCCCCCAGGGCTCCCTGTGTTACCTGCCCTCCCCTCCCCACTGGATCCGAGGCTTTAAATAACGTTTGGAGTGTTTTACTTAGGCACAAAGTAAAACTTGGGCTTGCAAAACAAGCATTAGGCAGGGGAGAGCAATATAAACCCAGGCTAGGTCTGGCTCAACACTTTGCTGCTGTTGCCCAGAAAACAGCAGGGCTGCAGCAAGGTCTCAGAGGGCCTCATGCTCCCGAGGAGGAGTTGTGGAGAACACGAGCACACAAAGAGCACAACGCCCCATTTTATCCAAATCTCTCTGCTCCCATGGCCTGAACCTCAAATTCATGTGTTAGAAGACACGGTAGATTTGAGTGATATCAGACCTGTGCCAATTACAGAGGTAATTCACGTGCCTACCTTTAAAAAGAAATAATTCCCCTCTCTGCCACTGCAATAAGAGATCCTACAGAGCCTGTTTGCAGGGGATTATGTGGTTCTTCTCCAGTGGTTCAGGTCCCTGAGCTTCTGACCTTGTGCCTCCTAATGCCATCAGGACCACTGCTCAGCACGTGCATTGAACACTTAGCCATCCAACAACCCCACCTCTGCACAGGGGGTCCCTTTCTCAGGAATTACTAGGAGAAAACAACATCAAGGGGATRAACAGTACCATTCGTTAGGTTATTAGATCATTTTGGGGATGGACGATGCACATTAAGCAACACGAGAGGATGTGTAAGCCAGACCACACACATACACCAAAAAAMCCCATTTCTCAGGCCATTGCCTTAAACACAGATATTTCAGGCTAGGATAATGCTTACACAAGACAAGTAAATCTTTGCGCGTTACAGTCTTGGAGGCGCTAGAACTAATCATCTCACCAGATGAGATCCTAGCTTGCTTATTATAATAACATTCAGCATATAATGAACATTAGGCAAGGTGAAAATTGATATCAAAAGCATTTCTAAGAGCTGAAGAGTTAACCCCTAAATTGGAAATCAATATATGTTTTAAGCAGCGTTCAGCAGAAYGGAGATCTTCAGGTTCTTGCCTCCGCAAAGTGAAAACTATCACGAGTTGAGCTAGAATACATGAAAAACACTCTATTTTAAAGAGAGTTATTAAAAAGAATAAACAACTCAACTCAAATCAACACTGATGGAATGAGCGCGTAACCCAAATGCAAGTACATGTCCCTGGAGGTAGAACAGCCAGTGTGAGCTTGGGCAGGGGCACAGGGAGGTTTTTCACTCTGTTTTCTGAATTTTGTGCACCAGACACACCRCAAGGACCAGAAGCCAGAAGGAACCCAGGACAAGGAGCATCACGACCATGAGCTCACAACCATAAGCTTGGCCTTTGGAGGGGCCTCCACCACACATGGGGCATAGGCAAAGCCTTGGAGTGAGCTCAGTGAGCCCAAGGCTCCAGCTCTGGTTTTTATTATGCCCCAAACAGCCCTGCACGAAGGTGTCTATGTCACTTGGGGAGCAAAGTGAACATTCGTGCCCAGGCGGTGGAGACGCTCCTCCTTGGGCCCATCCTAGGCAAAGAGCAGCTGCAAAATGTGCCCCAGCCTGCTGTATAGCGTGCTGTATAGCTGCTCAGAGCAAGCCTTTCAGGCTCACCGATGAATGAAATAGCTGTGAAAAACAAATGTCTCGTTGCTTGCCTTCTCCAGCATACAGGAAACAGGGATTTCTGCACCCCACATCAAAGGAACACTTGACCCTCTGTGAGCAATTCCTCCTTTTAATTATCACACACCAAAACGCTGAATTTTCCTACATTTCTCAGGTGAACATGGGGAGCAATATGCTGGAAAAGGTTAGAAAGAAGGCACATTTCTATAAATATTTGTTGGTCTGCATTCCTTTAACTTTGCATGATTAAATACAGCCTGCTTCTGTTCTTCTACTTTATCCTCCGGGGAAATTTATCATCAAAATTATTGTACAGCATTCATTACTCTAGCCTCATTTAAAACCTTGCCCTACTTATTATTTAGGCTGAAAAAAAAATGCTGCTTTGTATAGTATTCCCTATAATAGTCTCAATCATTACATTTAAAAGATTGCTGTAAGGCAGCTTAGCCTGCATTAGAGAAAAATAAAGTGGGATTCCATAGCTAAGTGTTACAGTTCACATTCAGCTTTTGTTTCCCAAATCACAACAATGCAACATTCCAATTCCTTAAAAACTCTCTCTCTGCTAATTGCCAGCACGTGGCTTCAGTTCCCCTTTTTAAAGGGACATCTAGTGGCACTTAGCTGCCCTAAAAAAGGTGGCAGGGAAAGGGAGAGGGATGGGAAGCTGGGAAAGCCGGGAAGCAGCCTGGATTAGTTCCAAGGTGGGGAGGACTTTTAAACCAGCATTACAAAGCCGCAAAGGGCAGAGTGGCAAGCAGAGCAGACAAACRATATTTTCTGCATTCTTAGCCAAAAATCAATTTGCTTAGGACAAAGGCGCGTGTTTGGAAGAAACAAGACGCACCATCTAAGGGCAGTCCGAAGATCAAGCTTAAACTCCCCGTGACATCGGGGGACTCTCTCATCTGTCCCAGCGCACAGGTCTCCCAATGCAGCCTCAGAGCTTGCAGGGAAGCCCYGTTTAAGCCCCTGCCCTGGTGGAAATTGCTCCTAATTGTTGCTTCCTCTCCCTTAGCCAGGTTTTGATCCAAGTCTTTGCTTTTGCATTTCACCTGCYGGGGCTCTTGGACTGCCTTCCACAAGATGCCTTGCTGAAGACATTTCACAGTCATAAATAAATGACATAAACCAGTTCCCGTCGCTTTGTGTCTTATTGACAAGTGCAGACTTCTAAGAGATTAACAGYGAGAGACTGTAAGTGACCCACTGCATCACCAAGCCAAGGCTTCTCCTATCACTTCCAGCCACAGCCTATAGTACCTGTCTCTTGGATAAGCCTGATCTTATCAGCATCTCCCAGGTGCTTTCTCTTTTCTTATCATTTGAACCAGTTTACCAGGTATGAATGAAAAGCTTAGTAGCCTGTAGCTCCACGGATCCTTTTCTTTACGTATCACAACAGGCAGTTTTCTCCTCCCCATCCACCAAGCAGATCCAGGAAGAGAAAGGGAGGGAGGGAAATATCGGTGGCAGGATGGGGACAAGACAGTGGACAAGACGTGTTCCTGCCAGACATTCTGTGGATATTGCCACCGGCAACACACTGACTGAGACAATCCAGGGAAACAGCAGATGTCCGTGTTTTAAAAGAGAGATCAAGTAGGGATCAATATTTTCCTTCAGTATAATTTTATCATCGGACTTGTTGGGTGAAAAAAAATATTGTTTCTTTTTTTCTGCTAATTGCATGGATTYAAAGATAACAAGGAAAAGCAGGGCATGTCCTGCACAAGAACACCCTTTTCCAGGAATTCCATGCAGCAGTGCCYGCTCTGGATCCGTGCTGCCGAGCATCCCTATGCTCCCATGCCACAGGGATGTGCAACGAGCTGCACGGGGTCCTATGGGGGCAAACTGATGGTTGGGAGCTGCAACAGCCCCAAACCTCTTYTTATACATGGCAAACATTTTAACGGGACACGGGTTCACCTGCAGAGTAAAAACCTCACTGCACTGGGCACTCCTCACTCACCTKCACTCGAGTGACACAGCGAGGACAGATGGACACCAGCCATGGCCAGAGACCTTAGCAATGACTTCTTCAGAGATGGGGCTTTACAGGGGCTGGGAATCRTCTCACCCCAACGTGGGCAAAAGCCAATCCCAGCATGACAGCTTTTCTGTCAATCCAGCCTCTATCATTTATTTAAGTGTTCCTCTAATCTTCCAGTCTGCGGCACGTACATTTATATTCTTAAATTCTTTATGAGCAGTAGGATTAACACCTCTTTCATCAAGCTGGAAGTAAGCTGCCTAGTTCTGATCTTTCTCAGAAACCCCAAATCTTTGGGTAGCTTTTAAAGAGATAGTCTCAGCTCTTCCCGGGGCTCAGAGCTCAACTGCTTGGACATTTGCTGCAACACGAGAGCCAGAAGAGCTCGATCTGCTCCCTGCCCTCCCAACAGGATTGGCAGGAAAAAGAAACTATGGCACTGCATATGCATCTGTGGGATTACTAGCATCTTAAGCCAGAGTCCATTCCCTTAAGCCACAGGGACACCTCGATTTGCTGCTCCATTTTGCCCAAGGGCACTGAATGAAGCAAGGTCATCAGATGCTTCCCATATAAAAGGTCTCCCCCAAGTATTTCTCTACAGAAATGTTTTTCTTCATGCTCTAGGTACAGGGCAACGTGGATCCTGAAAGAGGCTCACTTGCTTGGGTACATCTACAACCACGACGGTCTGAGC